ATTGTCTTAATTATAATTGTTTGCAATTTTGTCTCAATATTTGTACAGTATTTATAAATAACATAAACCAATTTATTATTAAGATATTTCAATATATATTTCAATAACGGAGTCTAAAATTAAGCACTACAATAGACGTGGACTTAAAATAATCAATTTTCTATAAAATATTTAATATCTTGATATTTACTGGAGATATATACTGAGTTACATTGATTTATAAATAATTAAAATATTATTATACTAAATATGGATACAAAAAATAATACATTTTAATGAATACTGGTATATTGCATATTTTAATAAGTTGTACTTATACTTTATTAGATTTTCTATAATTGTCAGATTAATTAATTATTATTAAATTTTAAATATCTTATCTTAGTACTGTACTGGACTTTGTTGCTTTCAGAAAAATAACAAGCAAACCCTTAGCTAACATATTGATAATAAGTTTAAATATTTAAAAATAAATGAATTAATCAATTAATAAAGTAAAAGTTTACTAATGTTTAATTCAGGAAATTAATTTTTATTTTGTATTGAAGTTTATACAGTCATTTGATAATATGAATTTTCTGAATTAAAAATTTGTAAACTTTTACTATATTTATTTATTTATTTAAAAATATTCAGACTTATCATCGATATGTTTATTGATTTTGTACATTAAGAGTTTGCTTGTTAATTTAAATTTGAAGTCCGGTACTAAATTTGATCAATTGCTATGATTAGAATTTTACCATGGAGTCTTTTCATTGATCACCTTACACAAATAAAAAAAATAATCTGAAACTAATTTTATTATTTGTATAGAATTTTAAAATAATTGTATCAAAGTTAATCTCTATTAGATTATCTTATTTATATTTAAACAAATTACTATTATTTTTAAATAAATTGCTTCACGTTATTAATCGTTATTTTAAACATCGTTTTGGTATATTATTTAATGGTTACCCTATGACCTCTCCCTGAAAGCAACCGCATAGATGGGATAATACCCGGATGGTAGCCGATAACTAACTGATAGTACCTGGGCAATTCAAGTAAAATACTTTGAAACTTAAGCGCCAATTGATTGCAGTATTGGTTAACTGGTAATCCATAGCATAGATGGCAGTGAATGCACTGAAACTGCAGACTGCAGTCAATGTCATGACAGCATAACTGCAAACAAATGAATGTTTTTGCAACTCATTTGTGTTCATCACAAACACAACAACTTATCTTATGCCTCACTTTCGATACCATTGCACACATGTGATCCCAGTGTTATCTACGGCTCTCTTATAGCCATAAAAGTCTAAAACCTGACGAATTAAACGCATTTAATATACGATTTGATTAGCAGTGAAGACAATAAGCGAGTGATTAGTTCATCAGTGAATGAGTCATACATTGAGCCCATTGGTAACCATTGGTTGACTGTATTGTCATTCAAATCATATGTCACATAATGATTGCGTAATCCATTGAATGAAAACAAATAGTGTTTTGCATTCAGACGTCAATCACAAGTGATTTTGGATTGCATTTAATGATCGCATGTATTAGTGGACCACTGCTTGGAAACCATGTCTTTGTATCACATGAGGGAGTATTTGTGGCAAAAGGTGGTCATCCGGTGGACGGGTCACCCGAGGGACCAGTCGTGCACTGAAGACCTGTCTCACAGCCCACCCGACGTGACACTGAAGGACGTGATGACGCGATTGGAGCCCATAGTCGTCAAACTCCAGGGTCTTATGATTTGGGATCAGCCCTACCACTCGATGGTCGCTCTCATTGCCTTCAATTGTCTCTATTGGTATGCATTTGCCATTCAATGCACACAATTGTCACTCGTGTCTAATGTGTATGTCATCGATGGTTAGGCTCTTTGTTTGGTTCAATAGGTTTAGTTTCTATTCATATCTGGCGATCGCATTGTTTTGCATCTATTTCTTGATACTGTGGACACAATACATTTGGCCAGAAATCAGAGGTATGTCTTGTCGTGATGTTTGTACGGCTGATACATGTGTGACATCTGTGTCTTAACCTTATAGTACCTCCGAATCCATCGACTGATACTGAAGGGTAAGTGTCCTATGGTTTGTGTGTTTGTGTTATTTGTTTGTTTGTCTCGTTTGTGGCATCAGTTGACGCCAACTGACACACAATTGTATGGTTTGGCCGAAAGCCAGCACTTATTGCACGACTATTTTCGCTCATTTATTCACATATATTGTGTTGCATTTGAATCCAATGCTAAAACACATATACTGTACAGTAATACCATATCTCCTAATCTATGATTAAATACGAGTCACAAGTCTCTAAGAATCTGTTTTCTATTTACAATGAATTGTCTTATTTTCACACAAATATTACATAACTTTTATATAATATATTGTTTTTTTGATAGCGTTTTCATTCAATTCTTATCATACAGTCAACAGTTATTCCCAATTCTATAGGAATTCCGTTTTCATGTGATGTATGACTCGTTTTATTTTATTGATTTGTTTATGTAATTGCTTTTTGGTATATATAATGAAAAAGAAAATTCATTAACACTTTGAAAGATACGATAAAGTGTTGGAATTGAGTCCAAAAATGAATAAGAAGTTTAAAAGACTTGAAAACAGTTTACAAATTTAATGACTAATTCTTGAACACTTGGTTTTGTAGTCTAAACACCAATTAATTTACTGTTTGAAGTCATCCCTAATTTTTATCACAGTTTCTTACAACAACTTTTCGGTGTAATAAATAATCGATTATTTAATCTAAATCTTAAGTTTGTATAAGATTTGTGCAAATATTTACCGATTCACTCGTCATTTGGTGTACCACTTCATGAGACGTTACGTCTAATCCATAGCTTTTTGACTTGTATTCAAAATAATTTTGTAATTTTTACTTTTTATTTTTCTAATGAGAGTATTGGTACTGAATTTCGTTCAGTCATTGCATTCGTTGTCTAATTCTTAAGCTTTTTATAACTTCTATCACGAGTTTGTTATCTATTTTGCGTTGAAAATCATTTTTGTTTATTATGTCACAGGAGTTCACAGTTGTGTTTAATACATGTTTTGTGTTAATCTGAATGACTTGTATTAAAATAAACTAAACATTTATTAAATCTATTTTCGCTGACTTGTGCTACAGATGGACACCCGTTCACCCGAATGTGTTAAGCGCTCCAGAAATCAATCACTATATCAATGAGTTGTGTGTTATGTCGAGAGCTGTAATCCTATGGTTCATTAGATTACGACGAGAGAAACGCTTCAAGTTCTTCATTACCACCACTTCTATACTATTCATGACTGCAATCATTGGACGACTCGTTCCCGGAGTTCTCATTGTCTACTCTATCAGTAAGTGTTGACACCTTTCCATCACATCCTTACACC